AAGTCTATGAGGGACTCTCTGACTATTCTAAGCAAACTAGGCAGGCGTACAGTGACAAGACAAGTGGAAAGGGGCCCTGCTTGATAAAAGTATTACAAGAGGGAAATTCAAATTGTGGAGCCCAGGTAATTAATTCAAAATTTGAAAGATCTGAAGATGGTAAGGAGAATTCACAAAATTGCCATGATGTGATTGTTCGGGCCAAATTGGGAAGAAATGATATAAAAAGCCCAAGGACAAGGTTAGAGGCTCAGTTTGAAGAGGCCTGTAGTAGTAATGAAGAGGTACAAGTGAGAAAGCCCAAACTAAAAAGATCCTCAAGTCACAATACAAGATGGTCTGATACAACCAGTGAAGGAAATGGGATCCCGGCACACAATTACAATGAAAGTGTTGGGCCTAAGGAAAGGCAAGAAGAAGATAAGGAGCCGAAGTTCGCAAGTCAGGAGGGCAAAAGGCATAACCGAAAAGGGGAGCATCAGGGAGAACTGTAAGGGACCAAGGTAGCAACGATTGACGACAGGCAACTGGGGAAGGAGAAATGCAAAACTAAAGGGAAAGAGTTGACTTATGCAGGTAGCGACTCGAGTAAAGTGGTAGAAAGTGTGGATGATGAATTGACTTTGGGAGAATTAGTGAATAGATTGAGCGCAAGGAGGGAAAAAAAGCAAAGAAAAGAAAAAGCAGGATCAAACGAAAGAAAAAGAAAGACTGGCAAATCAAACAAACTAAGGAAACAGGGTGTAACGAGCAAAAAGACCCCAAAGACTCAAAGGGAAACTTCCTCGACCAAACTTAACAGAGGCACAAAGGAAGATTTGAACAGAGAGGAGTTGATTAGCTCTACGAAAGCAAGTACTAGACTGTGGAGAGTCAATGAAAATAGAGAATAATCAAGTTTCGGTAACAGACTCTGATATAGCTTTCCGCAATAATCTCAACTGGAATGAAGCTGAGGTGACTTGGGAGATAGGAAGCAGAGTGGGGATAGAATTCTAAGCAAACCGTAATGTTGTGATAAGGGCTTTGAATGCTTTAGGCATTGAAGCCAGCAAACAGACAAGAGGATGAGTTTGGGAGGTGATCGAGTGATAAGGGGGCTTTCTATTCTATGATTAATGTCGTGACTTGGAATATCAGAGGAATGGGAGGGGGAGAAAAGAAGAAGGCCTTGAAGAAGATTATAGGAAGCTACAAACCTAATATGGTATTTATCCAAGAAACTAAGCTGCAAAAAATCAATAAGAACGAATTTGAGAAAGTTTGGGGAAAAGACAA